TACTATTTTAGTCTTTTTATGATTTGCCTCCTAACTCAATTAAATTAAGATATTATCGAGTCTACTATTACCATATAAATACTTACGCGGTTTACTTTAATTTACGCGATTTCGCTCCAGTACAGATTAATTAAAGAAACATTAAAACAAGATATGAATGAAATTGGATTTTTACTGCACTAAATTGTTCTATTGGTATAATGTTTTAATTTTGTTTAAAATAAATTTTAAATAAACATTGATTATTATTGTTAATGTGTGGGAATTAATAATGCGTCTATTTGAAAAATAGTGAATTTATTAGTATAAAGAAAATTATCATTTCTTTTATTTTATTTTATTTTTTGTTTACAGATTTTCTATTTATTTATTATAAAAATAAAACATACATTAATCTAATATGTAATGACTTAAATGAGTTAAGGATTTAGAATACCCAACTATAAGTACTGATTTTTTTAATAAATATTCTAGTTGGGCCCGTGCAAAAAATTCGCAGAAAATTTTGTTTAGTGAAGAAATAGTAAAACAATATAGAAATAAGTAGATCCCATGTATTATGCAAGGAAGAAATTAATATTTTTTCCTTAGTCGATTACAATATTCCATTAAACATAATAGACCGAAATATTCGTACAAATTGCTTTTCTAGGGGCTATTTTTAAACGCTGACTGGAAAGATAATAAAAGTAATAAAGACAAAATTATGCTCCGGTCATAGAATATTCTAAATTATTAAAAAAAATAAAATTTAAGAACAATCAAATATCTTTAAGAAATAATAAAGTTGATATAAAGACAGGAAAAAAAATGTAGTAGACTATTCTACTCCTAAATGTAATATCTTTAAGCCGGAAGACATCATGAAGTATATTAAAACTAATGGACTGTATCTTTCTTAATAATTGTCCGAATTTTATGTTTTTTTTATTTATTTTGTAGGTAATTTAGTAATATTTCTAATTATCGTGGGTACTATCAAGAAAAAATGCATACTTTTTGAGTTATTCGAAAACAAAGTTTCTTTTCCTCCATAAATAGTCCCATCCCTCCGAAATTTTCTCAGAAATTTCGGAGGGATGGGACTATTTTTTCGTATTTGAAGCAGAAGAATATCTTCAAAATGAGTGGTCAATCATTGGATTTTATGAAGAATTGACGAATTTATGGCGTACCGAAAAATAGAAATAATATATAGGATTAAAATAGCCAGAAAATGTGGAAAATTATTTCAACATCAGAGGTGCAATAAACCGTGGATCAATACGGGCGATCATAAATTTAAATAAATTTATCAGGGCCCGGTGGAAGCACTTACATTAAAGGGGTAAATTGAGAGGAGAGTGTAAGTTCGATTAGCTTTGAGAGTAAAGGTATATAATGCAATATGGCGGAGGAGCGGGGAAGTGGGGTTATTAATAACAATTAGGCAGACAATTTGGCCAATCCATCCAAGACACGGAGGGCTAAATATATTTTGATTAAGTAATATAGATCTTGCTCGGCTCCTACACCTCCCGTAATAAATACACATTAAGACCCGAGACTGGCTGATAAATCTTCGGCCGGCTCAGGTGGCCTGGCTGCCGGAGGATGATCCACTTACGTCTAACCAGTCCTAATGTTCTAATAGCCCTTCGAGGCTGTCCCTTCTCCGCCGCCTCTTTGTCCTAACCCTTCTTCTCATTAGCATTAGCAATGCCTATCCATGGATCAACAAATCAACAAATGAGACAATATCCAACTCCCATCAGAACAAAGTATAGTTCTTTCAATGTTCTACAGATCCTCCCTCCACTTTTTCCTTATCCAAAGTCGAGTACACTTTCACATATACAACAAAAGCTAAGCTCGATCGTCTAACTTGAAATCCCTATACGAGACTAAAATAGTCTTGCCCAAAACCAGTGTTGCCCACTTTGCAAGACCAAGACCAAGTCTGCCTAACTGTTGCAAGACCAAGACCAGGACTGGTAAAAAAAAATCGATTTTTTTAGTAAAAATTAAGGCAAAATATTACTTGAAAATCTTAGTTCCCATATGTTAATAATTTGTATAACCAATATACTTTTGCATTTAACTCTAATTTTTCATTCGGGCTTAGTTACGTTTCTCCTACCTAAAAACTTACAGTAATATCTCTATAGTAAAAAGCTAATAAGTAACTGCAAGACTCTTGCGCAAGACCAAGACCGAGTTTGCAAGACCAAGACTCGTCTAGGTTTCGCATTTGGGCAACGCTACAATGAAACGATAAAAAAACGTTTCCAGCTACTTCAGCACTTACTAGAAAAACGCTCCAAGCTTCGAGTTAATTATAAAAAAAAACTCATATGCATGGCTATATCCTTATATATATAATAAAAAAATATATAAAATTAAAAAATAAGCCTTATTTTTTGACCTACGAATTTGAGCTTTGGGTTCCACTAAACCATCAAATTCTTCTCTCATACATAACAATCCAGAATACTTTCGTAAAATCCTCAATGCACCCACGTCGCAAGTAAAATTATTCTTAACTAAGAATTATTAATTAAGAACTTATAAGAATGGAACTAGATCCCTAAAGAATAAAAAGATTTTTGCAGATAAGCAGAATACAATACTGGCCAAAAACTGCATAACCAAAGTTTAATCAATACATACAATATATTGAAAGTAAACATATTTAAGCAACAAACAAAATTAAATAACAAATATAAATGAAATACAGAAACAAAATAAAATAATTGAAGTAATAATAAAAAGAAAATAAAGAAGAAACAAAATTTGACCTTGTGAATAGGATTTTGGTATTGTATTGAAACCTGTTTAATTGTAATATTTACTTCTTAGTATTTCTTAAATATATAAGCACGGACAGTTCAAGTTATATAATGCTTTACTTAGGATTTCAAACATTTCTAACAAATTAATTTAACTCATAATTTAATAAATGGATATAAATTTCTTAGATTTATATTTTCTTTTTATTATTATTATTATAGAATTTTGCAATTTCGGAATAGGAGGGCTTCGACCTTCGACCGACATTTTAAAAATGAATTAGAACCAGGAATGAGTGACTCAATATTTGGTTAAGTAATCATCGTTAAGTTGGAGAGGGTTCAAACCGGACTTAAAACCGAAGTATTTTCTTCTCCCCTTAAGTAAGACCCTGTAAGTAAGTAAGGCAGAAGTGAGGAAGTCAAATTCAAATCCTGCAAAGCCCTACTCGGCTATCCAACTTATTGGGCCCCGTTAAAATATCGCATCAGGTGCTGCTGCAGAGGGAGGCCCCCACTCCGTCAATTCCAATACAATTTGAGACTGTGGAAGTTTGAGACTTGAAGGAAAAGTTGGCGAATCGGGTTAAAGTTGTTATTGCACTCCTGCTAAGTGGTGGGGTGTGGTGTAATCCCGTGTGTCGCATGCTCTCAGCCCGTAATCCGATTGGTCCAAACTTGAGGGGGCTGTATTAACATGACAAACACTCCTCACCGCCCTAATCCTATACTCCCCACCCACTACAGCCAATTACTTAATTATATTAGTTACTTAAGTCCTCTTACTATCTTTCTTAAAATATCTTCATCTAATATTAATGGATCTTTGTTACTATTACAAAAGAAGTTTCCCATATAAAAGCTAAATAAACACAGTTTGAATTATATATTAAGGTACTCAAATATGGGTTTCAAATGCGAATTTCGATACATTAAAACTGTATTCAACAATTTTTTTTCATTCGCTACTTATACTTACACAAAAGATGTATGGTATACACACGGGTTACCAACTGTGTAGCTATACTATGGACAAGCACGACATTTTGCAAATGAGAACCATTTCTACTAAATATGCAAAAATCAATCAGCGGTGACGTTCTGATTTACTGAATGGTCAATACCAATTTCAAAAAAAAAAAAAAAAAAAATGGAGACTTCCTGCCATTTATGTTTTAAAAGTGGGCACAATAATGAGAGGAAAGGCACGGAGAACCCGAAGGTTCAATACCGATAGTACCACTAGAACTAGCTTAATTTTGCCATATCTTTTTCTTAAATACAATACAAAAAGTCATTTGGTAATGTATTTACAAATAATATCATTATCATATAATGACTGAATCATATGCTCACTGAATCAAGATAAAAACAACCAACATGTTAAAAGAATTATTGTTTACTCAAGGTGAAAAAATGCAACATAAAAGCAATGTAATTGAATAAATCCCCTCAGATCCCCGCACCACGTCCGAGCCGCATTAGAGCCGTATGTAGGCTTCTTCCTGATGAAACCAAACATACACTTAGGTTAGAACATACCAGGGGACAAGCTACGACCATATTTGGTTTCATCGAGGATGTGTGCTCCAACCTTTACCCGTTGTTAGGAGGTCCCGGAAGGGGATTTCATGGCGCAAGATGCGTCATTAAAACTTTTGAGAGGGGCACATTTCGACGGGGTTTTGAATTTTTAGGGAGCACATTTCAACGAGGTTTGAAATTAAAAGATTCGACTAGGGGGTAAGGTTAAAAATATAGACGAAACACAAAAGTGTAACTGTGTATAGAAGCGGGGTGCACGAATGGGATAACGCGTGTGCACAGCACTGCGAGTTGCCGAGAAACCAGAACCGAAGTTATATGAGATTAAAAAAGTATGAGTTCGCGTCCTTGTGCTGGAGGGGATTTCGAATTTCCCGCCCTTGCCCTCCGGCCCGGGAAAATTCCGTATAGCCTAAAAAAAAGTGAGGATTTTTACAATTCTTCCCTCATCTGCATTGCTTTTAAGAACAGGAGAGCAATAAAATTTCGTATAGAGATTTATAAGAGGGGATAGATTTATGCACCATCCTTGGGAGGGATAGGTACCCCTACCCATTGTGTTCTAAAGCAGGCGCGTGGAGTGTTGGGGGTATGATATACTCTTTGTTTTGCAGAAAACATTGATATATGCAATTATTTAACTATATTTAAGCTCATAAGTACTATAATGTCATTATTACTCTGCGCATGCTGACTCTAACCTCACCATTTTCCTTCCCCAGGACTATGCTCATGCTGCCCCGACGATCGCGGAGGCAGTTCCTCGGTGGCCGAACTGCGGAGGAAGGCCCAGGAGCACTCGGCAGCCCTGCTGCACAGCTTGGCCTCCTTCCACAGCCTGCCGCTGCTGCCGTCGCTGTCCAGCCTCCATGCGGCGCTGCAAGCCAAGGCGCCGCAGCCCGAGCCTCCTTCGACGCCGCCGCAGCAGCAGCGCCACTGAACCCACCACCCGCGGTGGTGCGGCGGCTCTTCTCATCTAATCTAACATCAGTAGTGTTCGTAGATACTTCCGAAAGCGAAGACCTGGCAGCTCAGAGGAAGAACGCTGTTTGGAAACCTTTTACATTATTCAGATATCATTTTGTCGTTCATGATGAAACACAGCAATAACAAACCAGATTAAGAAGAGGATCATTACATATTATTTAATTATATATTTCAGCCCTGCTTATCTACCTTTACTTGTTTTTAAAATTGTTAACAAACCTAATTTTAATTATCATATAGATCCCCATTTCTGCTTCTGATCCACCTATATCTGTTTCCTTCATTTGATTATTTAAAACATACATATCTACACTCCACAGGTAAAGGACTCCATGTCCATTTTTTTATTAAATAATTTAGTCACTAAGAAACAAATTTTAATAGCTCAAAGTTATAAAAAAAATTTGCTCCTCAAACAAATACAAAAATGTGTAATGCTGTCCTTAACCTCTGGAGTACAGATTTAATAACCAAGAAACAAATTTTATTAGCTCAAAGTCATGTAAAATTGGCTGCCCTGTACAAATAAGATTTTATTTTATGTTACCTTCTCATATATTTTCATCATTTAAGAAATTATCAGGTCATTTATAATATTAATTAATTACATAGTATTTACTTAACAAATAATTGGAAGATTTAAAAATATGTTAGGAATGAATATAGAAAAACAAGCAGGGCAGACCTGTAATAGCACATCTCCCATCAACATTTAACAAAATATACTGAAAGAAAAGAGAGAGGTAAACATTTGCCCAACAATATTAAGTTTTGCTTTTATTAATTATTGTACTAACCATCAATAATCGACCAGAAAAAAAAAGATAAATGTACAAAAATAGAATTGATGTTAAACTTATTAAGCTAAAACAAGTCAAATTAACAAAACCAAAGATGGAATCCAATGTTAACCTATTACACAATCATGTTCATTATGTAACGATATATATTATAAGTAACTTATGTAGATATTGCTTAAACTGTAAATAGCATTATGAGCCAAAGTAATTAATTTGATTCATTGGCTGACGTTACCAGACAATACAAACCAGTGACAAATATACAAGAAGCATCATACTAAATGTGAATATTAATTACAAAAAAAAATGTATGTAAAACAATATGAGTATACTTAAAATCCTTTTCAATACATTAAAATGCAAGTTAATGATTGGAAGGTTTGTAGTGTAATGGAAATACTGTCAGTGATAAAAAATAGTACAGGATTGGAAACTTTCATTTTCTATTTTATCAACAAAAAAAACTTTCTAGGATATATTACATCAACTAAACGAAGTTGCAGAATAATCTGTAAATATTGATATATAATATAATAACAATACATATATACCGTTCGTTATAAGGTCTAATTGTTAATTTATTATTTTTGTTAATGTTGATAGTTTAATTATTAATAACAACATGTGGATATTATTAAGTGTATTTAGTGGTTATGTATATTATTAGACTGGCCATGTGCAATGTTTCGCTTAGATTTGACGTGAGGTAATTGTAATTTCGAGGAGCCTTTCACAAATACTATCAAATTGAATTGTTAGATTAAAAAAGTCCAATCTATATACCAAAGATATGTACATAATAAATTAGAGACAATATGTCAAGATATGATTAAATAAATCATGTATTAATAAATACTCAATACAAAATAGAAGAATCTTTAAAAAATATATATGTTTATTTTTTTGTACCACACCTGATTCAATATGATAGTTGCATGTTCATAAGATTTTTCAACAGAATTGATTAATAACAAATATATTTAATAATAATTGAAAAAAACAAACATTAATGGGTACCAAGAACAAATGTTTCTTCAATGCCAAGAACTGACTTTATTCCATGAATGGTTATTTAAATCATAACTCACTCTTACTAATAGAATCTTACAATTAAAAAAAAAAAGATATAAAGATATAGGTATTCAACAAAAGAAAAAAAAAAAAAGTCTATCGTAACAGTACTTTTAACCCATATGCCAAGAACATAGGAACGTAAGAATATAATTGAATGCAAAAGAGAATAAACAATACATTAAAGAGGAAATTGTATAAATAATATTGCTAAGACAATATATGAAAAAAAAAACATATTTATATATAAGGTATAAAAAAAAAAAATTAAATGTACAACATAATGGCTAAAGTATAATAAGAAAACAGGTAATAATAGGAACAAATAATACTAAAAAAAATAAATATATTTATAATAACAAAATATCATACATGAGATATAAAAATATAACAATAACAAACATAACGATCACTTAAAAAGAAAGGTACAAAATGTGTCATAGAATTAAATTAATTTATAGAAATAAAACATACATTATGGACATGAGATTTACAAAAGGAAGAAATGGATGGATGTTAAAACTACAGAATGCTAAATTAGTATTAAAAGTTTATTTTATTTTGTATTGAAAAGTAAAAAAAATGTTTGTTAGCAACACTGGTCTGAGTATGATTTATAAAAAAAAATCTTGACAAGTAAAACCAGTTTTCATTTCAAAACGAGTTTCACAGTCATATTTCAATGATTTAAAAAAAAATATATAATAAAAATTGATCTTTTTAAAAATAAATAAAATATATTTGTTGATTATAGAGGTTAAGTTTTCAGTTGAGTATCAAAATTATTTATCAAAAAATCTTCAGAAATAAAAGCGTCAGGTTGTCATTAAACAAGGTATATAAAAATGAAAACTTTTAATTTACTTAATATTAAGGGTATTGCCTTGGTTTTTTTATATTATATCTTCATGAAATTATTGAACATATCCGTAATTATTGTATCCGACAAAAAACAAAATTGAACAAGGATGTAAGAAAACTTCTACACTAGCTAACTTAATATAGATAACACGCACATCATACATAAATTATATACCATATCACATTAAATCCGCCATGTAAACATTTTTTCTAACAGCGTTGTTATAACCTTCTTTGAAGTGGAACCAAACCTCGCTCTTGACGATATCGTCAGTCCTAGCTGTGAAGATAAAAAAAATATATATATTAAAATGGTATCAATCGTAATTATATAAATAATATACAAATAAAATGAAGAAAATTAATCTAGGCTTACAATGAAGGGTAATATTAATAAAATACATAAATTCAGGAAGAAATTTATGTGGAGAAAATGCGTACGGGGCGAGCTTTTACCAGGCGTAAATTTCACTACTCCCAATTAGTAACCTATTTTCTCATGATTGCGCGTCTTTGTAAGTAACTTTAATTATGAAGCAATTATATGATTCTGGTTTTAATTTTTGTCCCCAGTCAGTGTCGGTGCCTCCTTTAATATTTATATGAAAGCTTATTTAATCAGAGTACAAAGTGCAAAAATGGTGAAGCTTTTTATACATGCACATTCATATAAGTACCAGCGCTATGTTGAGAACGAGGAGTAGAGTAGAAATTTAGAGTAGATTAACAGAACATAGATTGGATTCAATTGGACTAATCCTTGGCCGATAAACAACTTAATCCTATTTATCTATCACACAAAACGTTATCGTCAACAAACAAGAGGCCATTGAGCAGATTTTTTAATTAGATTAACCATGACATATTTAGGATTGACTTCTGGCAGAACATATACAGTGAAAGCCCTGAACACAGCACTAAGATAATATCAATAGCTCTAGTCGGATGTCGTACACGATGGACCAAAATAATAGATATCGAATTGAATGCATAATCATCAAACAATCCTGTCATTTCATTTCATCCACATTAATAACTCGGAATTCGCCAAAAGACGAAACAATATTGGATTAACATCGTTAACAATCCATTTTAAGAGATGGAACGATCGTATATGGCCACCTTAAGAAGACTTGGAGAGGAAACTTAACTATTTATCTTATCACGCAAGATAATACTATATATATATATATATATATATATATATATATACTATTTATATATACTATATTTATATATATATATATATATATATATATATAATACTATTTATATATATATATATATATATAAAACAGTCTATAAAAGAAGCTATACTTCCAGTTGTAGTAGTGAACCACTTTGATAGACCTCAGAATACTAACTGTATAATCATTATTACAAACCTTAATAACTGATATATTGGCACATTTGTACATTTAAAACATGCGTGAATGTCAACCTCACTGCCATTATGATCACTTAACATGTTTATGATCGCATATGATCAACGTTTACAAATAATGTTTATGTCAATTAAATGACAGTTTATTAAACCTCACTAAATATTGATTTCAATCCTGCAGTGAAAAATATACATGTCTCATTCAATAATTCCAAAACCATATATACCATGATATACATCCCAGTAGACTAAGAGCTGTCAGATGTCTAATAATATGATAATTTCCATTAGCTGTGGATTGTTCCTCGGATCGGGAGACCTTTCTGGGGCATATCCAGCCTCTATAAAATGAGTAATCTTAATTAACAAGTTAATTAATGAGAGGAACGTGGTGATTGAGTGTGATTCCGACCCGATCACCTCTTTACACAACCGTTGGCCTTAAACAATACTTCTTAAAAAAGTACTTAACTCAAAACCCTTCATGGGTTGTAGTCGTACACGGGTACAGGCCTTTTATAGTAACCACTTTAAATTCTGGATAAATCCTATCTGAACATATAACTAAGGTCATAATTAATTACTAATTGATATCATTAAAATCACACTGAATTAAATAATTAAGCAATCAGTATATAGATACTGTTTGTAATTTATAACAGATATACAGACAGCTACAATACGTATGCCTGTCTAGGAAAAAATGTCCCTAAGTGAACCGAATTTTTTTTTTTTTCATGGTTTCTTTCAGAGTAATTACCGAAAAATAGAATAAATTGTAAAACGGTAAATTGTGAATGTGCTCCCCTCCCAAAAAAAAAAAAAAATCTAAATGAGGTTGATTACAATGGTTTCATTGCTTTCCAACTACTGGTCACGGTAAAGAAAAAATTTATAAAACTATTTTCAAAGCTACAAACTTTCTCATAACCTTTTTGAATCTTCCACCTTTAAATACCAAGAAGTCATTCCTGATGTATTATGAAAAATAAATATTATTTTAAAAA